GGCGGCGTCGCCGCGACCGCGACGCTCCCAGGCGGAATTCCAAGTGTCTCCGGTCCCAGCTACCAACTTGAGGTCTTGTGTGAGCGGGCCTGTGATCGGTTGCATTGCGCTAGATTAAGCCGTGTGTGTCAGTAGATGTTCCTGGTCCTTGAGTGACAGACAGGCCAGGGGTCGGCCATCACGGTAACCGCAGCGTTGGCGTGATGAGTCAACGGTGGCGTTAAGGTCCACTACAGTTCTTCTTCTTAAAAAAAACCTCCAACAACCAGTACGAAAGTGCTGGAGACATATTGCCTTGTTTTTCTTAGACTAAACCTTCTGATAGGTCGACTTGCTGTCACCGCTGTGAACCTTTTTTCCGCTTCGAACTGACCTGTCGCTATCCGAACCATGTCGCACCGAGACTGCCATTTGTCCGTTAACAAGGTTAACCGAAGTTTCGCCTCGTGCATTTGTATTCTGGATCGTATTGCTTCCCTGCGCCTGTAAATTAGCAACACTTGCCTCAAGACAGTTTGGTAAATCTTCTGTGTTTGATTAGTCTGTCGACGCGTTTTAGGGGGTTCCCTTTATGTAAAGATGGGCGTGAACCGGTTAAAGGCGAAGAGCGCTAACCGGCTACCAACTAACGGGTTTCATGGGACTGAGTTTTCCGACTTTCTTGAGATCAACTTCAAAGACAGCAGCCTCCTGAGTTTAATATAAGTAACTGACTGCTATGTGTTAAGAAGGCCTGCTCTGCATTATTATTTAATAGTTATAGGAAGTAACCCTATGCGTGTTAGCTACTACATTAGTATAACGACACGCACAAAGTTGTTTTATTGTGGGTTTTTTGTTATTCAAATGCCTTTTATTTATTTATTTATTTATTCAGATTCGCTTTTCGATTCTTTTTATATTGTCAGACTCACTTCCTTTGCCATCTAAAGGCCAAGGAGAAAACGTGTGGTGGTTTTTTTAAATGTTTCTGTTGTACGCAGTAGTCACATGGCGCAGTGAGGTCCCGTCCATAAAACCCCTATTTAGTGGTGCCTTTGGGAGTTTACATAACCTACTGTTGCCGACGCCTGCCAACCGCATAGGCAATAGAACTAATTTTCCTGGCAATACACTTTTTGGCTTCATCTTCAACGGTAGACAGGTCGATGAGATGCATGCGTGCTATTCCGTTCTGAGTTATGTTGACAGATGCGCACAGTTGTTCTTTTGGTAGGGACGACTTGTATGGATGCCTAAACAGGACACGGGAGCAGGACTCGCCCACAATGCACACGGCTTTGTGCCAAATTCCAGGGATATTAGGTTTCATATTAAGACGAGGGTTAGGGTTAAGTTTAAGGTCGGAGTCCGGGTCAGAGTTTGGGTTAGGTCCAGGATTGTGCTAAGGCTTAAAGTCCGGGTTCGTGTTAACTATAGAATGTAAAATCAGAGTAGTTTAGGCTTCAGATTAAGCTAGTAGTTTAGTGAGGTCGCTCACCCTCTCCACTCTGAACTAATGGTTGCGAAGTCTAT